ATAGAGATGATAGTGATAGGAAATAGAGATGATAATCATAATGGTGATAAAATGATAATAATGATAATTATAATGATGATGATGATGATTATGATGGTGATGATAACGATGACAATGATGATAACGATAACAACAACAACAACAATGATAATAATGATGATGATGATGATGATAATAGTAATGATAATAATGATAATAATAGCAACAATGATAATAGTAGTAATGATGATGATGATAATAACGATGATTATCATGCTGATATCATCATCACCAATAGTAATAGAACCAACAATAACAATTATGAAGATAATGGTGTTTAGTGATGACAACGACAGTAATAGATATACTTAATAATAATGATAGTGGTAACCGTGGCCTCTTTGTGAAAGGTGATAACGACAAAAGCTTTGCATACCAAACCAGTAGTTTATTAATCATGGCAATAACTTATTTATTAATGATCACAACCATTATTTACCGATAACCATACCAATAATTCATTGATAATCATACAAACCTAATTTCCTAATTAATCATAACAACAATTTATCGTGAACCATACCAACAATGCATTGATAATCATACCAATAACCTGACGACAGTCATACTAATAATTCATTGATAATCACACCAATAATAAAAGAAAGACGAATCACGTGTCTGTGGTCTTTACAGGGGCAACTTGTACGTGCATCTGCCATATAGTGCTCACGGTGAGAAGATGGTGAGGCTGGGACACTGGACGGGGCAGGAGGGCGTCACACTACTGGCTGGCGCGTCACTCTTTCCGCAGAAGTATTGGGAGTATGTGTAGATTGGGAGATTGAGGGGTGAGGGTGAGGGAGGTGGGGAAGGGTGAAGGGGAGGTAGGGAAGGGTGAAGGGGAGAGAAAGAAGGAAGGGTGAGGGTGAAAGAGGGAAAGAAAGGTGAGGGTGAGAGAGGGAAGGAAGGGTAAAGTGGAGAGAGGGAAGGAAGGGTGAGGGTGAGAGAGGGAAGGAAGGGTGAAGGGGAGAGAGGGAAGGAAGGGTGAAGGGGAGAGAGGGAAGGAAGGGTGAAGGGGAGAGAGGGAAGGAAGGGTGAAGGGGAGAGAGAGGAAGGAAGGGTGAGAGGGGAGAGAGGGAAGGAAGGGTGAAGGGGAGAGAGGGAAGGAAGGTGAAGGGGAGAGGGAGGAGGGTGAGAGTGAGAGAGGAAGGAGGGTGAAGGGGAGAGAGAAGGAAGGGTGAAGGGGAGAGAGGGAAGGAAAGGTGAGGGTGAGAGAGGGAAGGAAGGGTGAAGGGGAGAGAGGAATGAAGGGTGAAGGGGAGAGAGAGGAAGGAAGGGTGAAGGGGAGAGAGGAGTGGAAGGGTGAGAGGGGAGAGAGGAAGGAAGGGTGAAGGGGAGAGAGGGAAGGAAAGGTGAGGTGAGAGAGGGAAGGAAGGGCGATGGTGAGAGAGATGAAGGGTGAAGGGGAGAGAGGGAAGGAAGAGTGAAGGTGAGAGAAGAGAGGGAGGGTGAGGGTGAGAGAGAGAAGAAAGGTGAAGGTGAGAGAGGGAAGGAGAGAAAGGGTGAAGGTGAGAGAGGAGAGGCAAAAAGGGAGAGGGGTGTACAGAGAGGGAGAGGGGTGGTAAAATAAAGGGAAGGGGAAGGGCAGGGGGAGAGGGAAAGGAAGAAGAAGAGGGAGAAAGAAGGAGAGAGGAGAGCAGATATATAGATTTATATAGATAGCTTTCTGGTGACTAGCCAATCTGAAAAACTTCTCAAAAAGAAATTTGTTTGCTGTGTAACGTAGTAACTTCAGAGCTTTTGCGGATCTTAGGCATACACGAGGTTCAGGTTAGAAAAAAAAATCATGACTAGTTATAGTTCGAAAATCTCAACGTTCCACGCATTCCCTAATCCACCCACCGGGCTCCCCTCCAGCTTCCACGGCGCCCCCGTCAACGTGACCGCCCTGCCCTTCGCCCCCTACTGGAGCGTCGAGGAGGGGGAGGGGGCGGCCGGGGGCGCACCCCCCCTCAGCAGCTACTCCGGCACGGACTTCCTCATGCTGCGCACGATCGCCGAGGCGCTCAACTTCTCCGTCAGCGTACTGCCGACCGCCGACTGGGGGGAGGTGCGCGTCCTTTTCCCTTATTTGGGAAATGTCATTCTTTCGGATGGAGCGCTCGCATGCACACACACGCACACACACACACACACACACACATACACACACACACACACACACACACACACACACACACACACACACACACACACACACACACACACACACACACACACACACTGCAACTTTACAGTGAGTGAAATTTCCCATCACCAGACAACACAGATAAAAAAGACTTCTCCCGAAGTCAGACGGGGAGAAGAATCGGAGGGAAAATCACCACCAAACGGAGAAGACGCTCGATCCAAGGGAATGACAAAGGGGTGGGGGGGGGGGGGGGCTTTTGTTTTTCATCAGCATCTAACAAGGAAACTGAAAGTCTGGTTTTATATATCCAATGTCTATTCGTATCTAGATGGCACCAATCACAAATGGTACTGAACGGGAAAAAAGAGCTGAAACTGAGAAGGAAATATTCACTCCTATTAAGATAACGATGCATGACATTACTGCATTATATCGCTCATTTCCCCAGGTGACGCAGCGCGTGGAGGAGCGCATCTCCTTCATGGCGCCCATTATCTACGCGGTGCTCCCGGGGCGCCTCGAGCAGTACGACTACACCTACGCCTACGAGTACGCCTCCCCGGCCTTCTGCATGACCAAGCCGGTGCTGAGGCCTCAGTGGCAGAGCCTCTACTACCCTCTCAGCGACCTGGTCTGGCTCTCCGCCCTGGCCGTGCTTTTCATTATGCCTCCGACGTTCTCGATGGTTGGTCTCTATGAAGGGTCTTTGTGGATTAGATGATGATAGTAGTCTTTGCGGTGCTCTTCCTATGGATACTCGATGCTGTAAATAAGACAGGTTTATGATATGTTACCTTTCCCAGTATGTAGTAATTCAGTGATTTTTTTTTTTTTTTTTTTTTTTATGATCGTGTCACGAAGAATTCAGAATCTCCCATTTTAAGCATTCGAATTCCATCGCCATCGTCACCATAAGATATCGCACACTTCACCACAGATGGGCCGCATGGATGGGCGTGGAATGGGCGGGAACACGGGCGTCGCTTTTGCTGTCGTGGGAACCCTTTTGGGCCAGAACCTGAACCAGTTGCACTCCCACAGCAACGCCGCCCGCCTGTTGCTTGGGGCGTGGCTGATTTTCGCCTTCATCTTGGGCACCGCCTACAGGGGCAACCTCACCGCCGCCCTCACGCTGCCCAAGTACCCCCCTCGCCCCGAGACGCTCCAGGAACTTGTGCAGGCTGTCAAGAGGTGGTTCGGCCAACGCCTGCTCTGGTTCTCTTTTTATTGTTAGGGGTTGTGTCTATTATTATGTTTCATGTAGTTTTTTTGTTTGGCTATGAAGCGAGAATTACTGTATTAAATCTGTACTAATTTCTCTCTCTCTCTCTCTCATTCTGTCTCTCTCTCTCTCTCTGCCTCTCTCTCTCTCTGTGTCTCTTTCTCTCTCTGTCTGTCTGTCTGTCTGTCTGTCTCTCTCTCTCTCTCTCTCTCTCTCTCTCTCTCTCTCTCTCTCTCTCTCTCTCTCTCTCTCTCTCTCTCTCTCTCTCTCTCTCTCTCTCTCTCTCTCTCTCTCTCTCTCTCTCTCTCTCTCTCTCTCTCTCTCTCTCTCTCTCTCTCTCTCTCTCTCCCACTCTCCTTTATGCTTCCCCCAGGGTGACCATGCCTTCCTACGGCGCTCAGTTCCGCGACTTCTACAAGCAATCCGACTCGGAGGTGTTCCGTGCTCTCGCTCGCATCATGGACATTGTTCCTTCTGCTCAGGAAGGTCTCCAGCAGGCTAGCGAAAACAGGTGGTTATTCTGTGTGTGTGTGTGTGTGTGTGTGTGTGTGTGTGTGTGTGTGTGTGTGTGTGTGTGTGTGTGTGTGTGTGTGTGTGTGTGTGTGTGTGTGTGTCTGTTTGTTAGTGCGCGTGCATGTGTGTCTTTCTCCAAACCATACCATTTCGCTATACTTCCATACACACCACGTAACTCAGCCCTCTCCTCCCGCCCACCAGACAGGCGCACATCCAAGCCCGGCGGTTCCTGGAGCTCGTGGTGGCGGAGGAGTTCACGCGGGCGGACGGGTCGACGCGGCTGTACTTCGGGCGCGAGAGCGTGTTCCCCGGCCTCTCCGCCTGGCCCATCCCGCACGACGCGCCCTACAAGGCCCGCCTCGACCGCTGCATCATGGCCGTCAAGGAGGTGGGAGGGGAGGGGGGAGAGGGGAAGAGGGAAAGAGGGGAAGAGGGAGAGAGGGAGAGGGGAAGAGGGGGAGTAGGGGAGAGGGAGAGAGAGAGGGAGAGGGAGAGGAGAGAGGGAGAGGGGAGAGAGAGAGAGAGAGAGAGAGAGAGAGAGAGAGAGAGAGAGAGAGAGAGAGAGAGAGAGAGAGAGAGAGAGAGAGAGATCCTCAAAGATATAAACCTTGCCCCCCGTCTCGCCCTCAAGGCCGGCCTGTACGAGAAGTGGAGTCGGGACCTGATGGAGAAAGCCAGGAAGGAAGGTCGGGAGAGGCAGCAGAGGATCCTGCAGGAGAGGCGCAAGCAGAACGGCCAAGCAGACGCCAAGCAGGACAGCGAGAAGGCACCGGAGCCGAGCGGGAACTCCCCCAAGGCGCTGACGATCGTCCACCTTCAGGGCCCGCTGATGCTGGCGGCCTTGGGCCTCGGCGCCGCCAGCGTCACCTTCCTGGGCGAGGTGGCGGCCGCCAGATGGCTCAGGTCACGTGACCCCTCTCGTCATGTCATCCGATAAAACTTCAATTAATTTAGATTTCAGGGCATATGTGGACTAGGATTGCCAACATGACGTACTCTAGAAGGACGGTTATGCGAGATTGTACCACATACTAAGCATTTTGTAATTTAGTTTTGTTGAAACTTAATTGAGAACAAAGATCTGCTACA